ACCCTCAAGAACCCCAACAAGCGGCTGGAGCACCAGGGCATCAAAGTGGAGTTCATCGGGCAGATCGGTGAGCGGGGCGGCCTGCGGGCCCGGGTATCCCTTCCTGATGCCCCTCGTGGGTGCCGGGATCCCGCTGGTACCGGGGCTCCAGGGGGAATCACTGGTGCCACGGGTCTGGGCAGCATTGCTGAACCCCATGGCACGGAGATCCCTGCGGATGCCAGGGGTCCAGAGAGCACTGCTGATGCTGAGGGGCCAGGGAGCATCGCTGCATCCTCCTGTGGTGATCTCACTGGTACCGGGCTCTGGGGGCATTGCTGTGCCCCACGGTGTGGGATCCCACTGGTATCGAGCAGGTTCCTCTCGCTCCAGAGCGATGCTCAGCTGCATGCAGCATTCCCATGGCTGCATGAAATGATTCTGCTCTCTGAGCTGGGCAGCCTGGCCTGTTCTCCAGGCTTGAACCCTGGCAGAAGGAAGGGCATTCCAGTCCTTTTCCAGGTCATTGTTCTCCTGTCCTAATTTCTCACTTCTGCTCGGGATCTTAGACTTCAGCTCTGAGCTGGGCACACTTTGGTTCCATCCTGCAGCTGCAGGTGAGCCCAGACCTGCTGCCAACGCCAGCTGCCAGGCCCTGCTCCATCCAGGCTGGCTGCTCCTGCTTCTCTCGTGTGCCTGCTGATCCTTAGTGCCAGCCTAGGGATGCTGATGGGGTGGATTTTATCCATATGTCCCTTTTACCTGGGTGGATCACCTCTCCTGAGGCCTGCAGGCTGATCCCACGCATCTCTGCACGGTTGGTCGGGTGACTTCAGGCTGTTCAAAACTCGTGGTTATCTGTGCGTGTAACCAATTCAGGTTTAATATTTCCTGCTTTCGTAGAGGAAAGGCAGCTGCCACACCCACTCGTCCATTGGAGCGGAGCTGTCCGTGCTCCACGGACATGCCTTGAGTCCCACCTGCCAAAATAAGTCCAGGATGTGCCTTCCCAGTGATGTGGCTGCGTGTGAGGCCTCACATCTGTGGCTCTCTGTGCCCGACTCTAAACCCTAAAATCACTGCTGGAGCCGGGGGCCTGCAGCCTTTGCATTGCAAATCGTGTGGTGAGAGAACATGAGCAGATTTCCCACCCAACCCCGATGCTGCTGTTTGAGAGTTTTATTGGCTTTGCTTGTGCCTGACTCTGGTTTTTGGGAAGGAGGGGAGCGTGTAAATGATGGAGGCCATTCATCAGGAACCAGGTTATGAGTTCCTGTTGATATGGTTGGCAGTGGAAATTAAGCATGAACTTTGTTTCCTGCTCCACTGTCTCTGCTGTGCTGCCTTGCCTGCTCCTCATTCCCTGTTTTGGGAGACTTTTGAGCCAGGCCTGTATGAAGTAACTGCTTTGTATGCACGTTATTGCCCAAACAGGGTGTGTTCCAGCTGCTGTGCCTGCACATTAGTCCTTACTCCCCTCAGGCCTCTTAGATCAATCACTGAAGTTTGTACCACTAATTGCACTTCTCAGTGCTTTCCATCTCAGGCCTGGTATTCTGACTTCTTGCTGCCACGAGGTCAGCGTGGAGGTGAGACAATTTAACAGGCAGGGGGACTGGGAGGAGAAGGAGGGATGTTTTACAGGGAAGATGCTCCAGAGCAGGTACCAGAGGCCAGAATGAGTGCTGGGTCCTGCCTGCTCTCAGGTGAGCATGGAACCCATTCCAGATGGTTTTACCTCTGGTGGCTGTGGCCTGAGCAAGCCACCGAAATGTTGGTGGCTTGTTATTTTGTTTGTTATTAATGGCAGGTTATTTTCTCAGTCTGGAAACCTTACAGCTCTGAAAAGCTGAAATTACAGCTTATACCTGTTTGACAGGCTGGAGTGTGGGAAACATCACTCTGCAGGATGCCAAACATGACCTTCTGAGGTAGCAGAGAGCTCAGTGCGCTGACATTTCTCTCTCCTTGCCTTAAGTTTGATTTGTGCCTTCTGCATCCTGTGTCACGATGGTCTGGGCTGATTCCTTTTTTTGTGTGGCTGGTTCCTCTTTTTCTGTTGGCACGTGGCTTCTCCCTGTCACATCAGTGAGCTCTTTCCTCTCAGTGGACACACAAATTCAGTGCACTGAGAGAGGCTTGGTTATTTATGTCACCTGCCCAGCCTAAAGGGCTTGGTGACATTTGGTGTTGTGCGTAAGTGAGGAGAGCTCTAGTGCCAAAATTTCCATTAGAGAGATAAGGTGAGCAAAGGGCTGTGAGAAACAGGCATCACTTAAAAGCTGAAATCTCATTGTGCATCTCAAGGAGGGCAGAACTGCAGTTCCTGAGCACCTCTAATACCTCTCAGAAGCCTCCTCTGCACAGTTTAGTGCTGACACTGAGCTTGAGTGTGTGTGATTGTGTGATGACTTAGGTTTTTGTTTGCTCATCTAAGCAGAAAGGCTTTGCCTTGCAGAAGGACTGTGTGGGTGTCCTGTAGGCACAGGCTCACACGCAGGGCTGGGAAGGGCAGGTTTCATTGATGCTTTTGGGTAATCCCAAGCTGTTCATGCAAATGGCAGAGTTTTAAGGGTTTTGTTGCTTTGTCTTGTGGCAGAAAACTCTGTGGAGGTGTGAAGGATTGCTTTCATTAAATGAGGAAACGTTCAGTTTCCTGCTGATGTGGGAAGGTTGTGGGGAAAAGCGAGGCAATGCTGGTCACTTGAGCTGGTTTGAGCAGTGCTTCCAGAGGTGAGAGCTCTTCCTTCACCATGGCCATTGATGTGTGATCCATGGAGGAGCAGTGGGTTCAGCACACTTGGGGCAGCTGTGCAGCAGGATCAACATTGTCATTTATTCCCTGCTGCAGCTCAGAGCCACTCAAGCTCTTTGCTGTCTGAGGATAAGCAGGAACAGTTGGAATAATCCTATCCCCTCAGTTTTGTTCTGTCACTGTCTGTTCCAGACAGGCAGTGGTGGTTTTTCCTCACAGTGGCAATGCCTTTAGCCTGGAGTACAATGCAGAAAATTATTGTAAGGGTTTCTGTGAGCTGCAAACCATATCTAATATTGATAATAGGCAACTCGTGTTCAAGGCAAGTTCTTGGTTTATTGTAGTAAAGGAGGCTGTGGGAATCTTTTCCTGTTTCAGGGAGGAAAGTGTCCTGCATCTGGCTCTGATGGAGAGCAGAGAGCAAGGGCAGTTCTGTGGAGCCATGGGCTCCCCTGGTAGGTTCTGTGAATAGTATTGAAGGAAGGAAGGAAGGAATGAGCTGGACATTAAGCTGGGGTTAAGCTTAACCTGGATTTCCATTTTCCTAGAACTCTACTATGACCGAGGGAACCACCACGAGTTCGTGTCCCTGGTGAAGGACCTGGCCCGGCCTGGGGAGTTCACTCAGTCACAGACATTTGACTTTGAGTTCACACACGTGGAGAAACCTTACGAGTCCTACACGGGGCAGAACGTGAAGCTACGGTGAGTCCCCTGCCCTGGCTGACCCCAGTCCTGCCTCTGTGTAAGTGCTGATATTCACTCTGATGATGCAGAACTCCAAATTAATTTTGAGGGCTGAGTTGTAAAAGGCTGCCTTTGAGATCTTTCATTTCCAAGCATGCATCAGGCTCTTTATGGAACTTGTTTTTACCCTTTTGAGTGACAAGAGAAATTAGCCGCTTTTGAATCTAATACTTGCTAATTTATTTGATAATTCAAAAAATCAGAATAAAATGTTTGGTTTAGTTTATCCAGTGGGGATATTTTTGCTGTAATCAGTTTTGTCAACTTTAATTGTGCTTGATATGCAAACAGATGCTTCGCTTGTGCCTTGTTCATGTTAGAAATGATATTTCACATCAAGGCATTCAATCAATTCAAAATTCTTCCACTGGTTTCAAAGTGGGGGTTGGAAAAGTCTGAGATCTGCCCTGGGAGGTGTGGCTGTACAGCCTGATGTAATCTTGCAGAAGGGCAGTGGTTTTAGCATGTGCAGGCTGTTCCTTGGATCCCCAAAACAGGGCTTAGGTAACTCGGGCTCACAAATGCATGGAAGCTGAGAGGAGCGTGCTTTTCCACCTGCAAATGCCCTTCTGTCTGTTCCAGTGTGGGGTGTTGGCTGCTCCAGGGGCAGGTACATGTCAAGAGCTGGGGGCTCTTTTGCTGTGGGTTTATTTTGTTCAGGACTAAAAGAGTAAATGACATGGGAAGAGGAGGTTCCTCGCTGTTCTGCTTCCTCATGGCAATTCTTTGGTTTCCTGCTTATTTCATCCCTTTGGACATTCCCCATTCCCGGTCCTTGAAGTGCTGGTCCTTCTCTCAGCTGAGCACCTCACCTTGCCAAGGAGAAATTTCCAAGCTTCACCGGGAAAAAGGAGCTTTCTCAGTGAATCCATTGAGTTTGAGCACATGTTTTATTTAGATTTGCAATCCAGTGCGTTTTCAGCTCTTTCCACGGATCTGTGTAGTGAGGCTGCTTGGATAGTCCAGCCCAAACCACCCAGCCCCTGTCCCTGCTGCCCCTTGATGACCCTGATGGGAGGGGACTGTCCCTGCAGGTATTTCCTCCGTGCCACCGTGAGCCGCAGGCTGAACGACGTGGTCAAGGAGATGGACATCGTTGTGCACACCCTGAGCACCTACCCCGAGCTCAACTCCTCCATCAAGATGGAAGTGGGCATCGAGGACTGCCTGCACATCGAGTTCGAGTACAACAAGTCCAAGTGAGTGTCTCAGGAGCAGCTGGAGGCTGTGGGGACCCACCTGCTAGAGGTTTCCTCAAAGGAATTCCATGTCCACGTGCTCCAGAGAGGCTGGGAGACAGCTGGGATCCTCCCTGATCCCTGGGTTCCTCTCCTTTCCCCGTATCTCTGGATCAAGGAGTGGGCAGCAGTGGCTGTGGCTCACTGAGCCTGGAGCACAGCATGAAATTCTTGCTGTAACTTCCCACTCCCTGTATCCTCAGCCAGATCAGTACTTCCAGGTGTCTCCAAAATTCAGTGTTTACTCCTTACCAGGCCATACAGCTGAAGTGGGAATTAACTCAGCAAAGAAGTTGGGAAGAGCTCTTTTAAACTACTCTTAGTGCATCTTTCCCAGCTGGTGCTGGCAAATCTCCCTGCAAGTGGTGGTTGGTCAAAGGTTGGACTTGATGATCTCAGGGGTCTTTTCCAACCTAAATGATTCTGTGATTTGTGTTGGTTTTAATTGATCTGAAATACTGAGTTTGGAGCTTTGCTGTTACAGGGGTTTCTTGCAGATATTCAGGCTGAAGTGATGTTTTTCATTTATCTGCTCATGCTAAATGTTCTCTTGGATTTCCAAAAGAGCAGAGGATGGAGATGAAGGGCTGGTTGCTGATGGGGGTGGTTGATTTGCCATCTGCTGGGGATGTGAGCAAAGTGCCTGCCTAGCAAGTTCCTGCACGTCAGCCCGAGTCCTGCTCTGCTGCACAGGGCTTGATCCTGGTGCTTTCTCCCCTCTCCTGCCAGGTACCATTTAAAAGATGTGATTGTGGGGAAGATCTACTTCCTGCTGGTGCGGATCAAGATCAAGCACATGGAGATAGACATCATCAAGAGGGAGACGACGGGCACGGGGCCCAACGTGTACCACGAGAACGACACCATAGCCAAGTACGAGATCATGGATGGGGCACCTGTGAGAGGTGAGAGGGCACAGGAACCCCCAGCATTCCTCTTCTGGAGGCTTTTGGAGTGGGAAAACAACTCTTGCAGTATTCCTCTGTGTGCTCAGCATCCTGTTCAGCTGGTGGGCTCAGAGCAGGGGATTGACCTGATCCCCTTCCTTCTCCAGTGTGATGAGGGGAACTGAGGCAGAATGAGTTGCAATGACTTAATTCTTTTGATGAAGTGGTGGCAAAACCAGCTATAAATTCACACTTGGCATGGGCCACCAGCTGGCATTGCTGCAGCTCAGAGCAGAGATGGTATTCCTGCTCTGTGCCAATCTCCTGTGCCACTGTTCCTTTGCCCGGCAGAGTCACCTGCCAGAGAAAATGTCACCTTACTCATTTTTTCCTGCAGTGCTGTCTTGATGCAGGTCCCAAAAGAGTCCTGTGCTGTTAGAGTGGAGCTGGAATAGCTGTCAGCAAGGGCAGGAGCTGGCTGTGGACCGTGCATGCTGGTTTCTGAAGGGAGTTGAGGCCTTCTAGCTCATGTTAGTCCACTTGTGGAAACGGTGACAAAGGTTGTGGCCGTGTGAGTTTGTGTTTTGCTGCTGCTCTCCTGGTTTCTGTCTGCATCCTGTCTGTGCTGAGAGCTCTGTGCCCTTTCCAGGGGAGTCCATTCCCATCAGGCTCTTTCTGGCTGGCTATGAGCTGACTCCAACCATGAGGGACATCAACAAGAAGTTCTCTGTGCGTTATTACCTCAATCTGGTGCTGATCGATGAGGAGGAGAGACGCTACTTCAAACAGCAGGTGAGAAACAGAGCTGCTCCTCTCCTTGGACCTGTGGATGATTGATTGGGATGCTTTTACAAGGACCTACAGAGAGTTTGGGATTCATCACATGGAAGGATGATCTAGAAGAATGTCCATACAGGTCAGATGTGTGTGGTGGTGGGGAGGAGTCTCGAAAGTGCCTGCCTGGGATTCCTTTTCTGCTCAGTGGTGGAGCTTCTGTGCTTCACCTTCTCAGTGGCACTAGGACAGAGGTGGCTGTGGATGTCCTCTGTGTGCCCAGACCCCAGGGAGGAGCTCTCTGCCCAGATTTCGGGCAGGCTGCACTGTCAGGTGCGTCCTGGCTGTGGGTGGAACACCGAGCCTGGTTCAGCCTGCAGAGCTGGGTGGGGCAGCAGAAGGTGTCAGCAGAAGGTCTCACCAGCCCTGACAAGCCTTGGCTGTGTCCCCGCAGGAGGTGGTGCTGTGGAGGAAAGGGGACATCGTGAGGAAGAGCATGTCCCACCAAGCTGCCATCGCGTCGCAGCGCTTCGAGGGGACATCCTCGCACGGCGAGGCCAAGCCCCCCGGGCAGCCCGCGGAGAACAACGGGCAGCAGTGAGGCCGGGGGGCCGCCGGGAGCCCCCAGGACAGCGGCACCGAGGAGGAGACGCTCAGAGACTTCACAGAAATAAATACCCGTTTTTGACTTAATTCCTTTCTTCAAAGGACTGGCGCGGTGGGACGGGGCGGGAGGGCTCGGAG